CCTGGCACATCACAGGAGCTCACGTTTATATGGCGGGTACTCTGCTCCATGCTTTCGGTGCAGCAATTCCTTCAGTGTTCATTAACCCTTGAGGTTGCTTCCCGTGTCATCCCTCTGTTATAGATGAGGATGTGAACACATGTGGAAAGCTTACGGCCTTGGCCCAAGGTCACATGGCTAGTAAGTGATGGAACTGTAAATTGACCCAGGCAGCCTGGCGCAGTCTTTTCTTGGCTTTTGGCAGTGTTCCACCACGTGTTTCCCCTGGCGGGCACTCAGGAACCTCAAATCCCACCTGTGCCCATTCCCCCATGAGCAGGGACCCCCGGCTGGGTTGAGAAAGAAGAGCAGAAGCAGGGACCAACCGCAGGGCAGGATGAGCTGTGCCACTTGGGAGGCTGCAGGCACCCTGGAGCTCTGGTCGGGGGGTCACATCACAAAGAGGGGGTCGGTCAGCTAAGGTGAGACACCGTCCACAGCCCAAGGACTATGTGCGGAGGGGCCGGTTCTGTCTTTTATTTGATCACTGGCTGTTTTGCCTGCCCTCCCCACACCTGTGCTGGGCCCATCTCTGGTGAGGGAAGGATGGGGCGCAGCTCCCATGGCATGAAGGAGACAGGAAAGGACCCAGGCAGTGGGGAGGTCAGGCAGTGCCCCAGGGCTTTTGGGGGCACTCTCGGCAGGGGGACTCCGGTGGTCACGGGCCTGGATTCTCTCCTGCAGATGCCTGTTTATATCACCGGGATCACCAACAACCAGAACCCTTTCTCCTTTGGCAATGCTGTGCCAGGCCTGACCTTCCACTGGTCTGTCACCAAGCGGGACATCCTGGACATCCGGGGGCGACACCATGAGGTAACTGCCTACCCTGGGCCCCCTTCCTGCCCCCCCCATGTGCGCCAGTGTCCGGCGCAGGGAGGGTTCTCCCCATATTTCTGCATGTGGGGTCTGCACCCTCACTCCCAGGCCGGTCCTGGCCCCATTCTTTCTCTCAAGGCTCAGCGGGACACCTCGCAAATGCCGCCACCACACCATCCTCCCTGGTGTCCTTCCTCCACTCCCAGTCCTCTCCTGTCCAGGAATCTGGGCTCCTAGCTCTCCCTCCTCACAGAGCTTTCCACTCTAAGCATGTACTTGCTAAGCGCTACAGACGGGCTTTGTAGGTAACTGACTTCAGAAGGCAGCAAAAATGACAGCCTTGTGGGGAGGTCACAGAAGTTCCAGAAGATCATAGGGTCTTGGTCAGGGTACCTAGTCTGTAACTTCTGACCTTCTCTCTCAGGTGATGCCTGGCAGCCCTGGGGCTTTTTCCAGATTTACCCCTGAGGGCAAACTCCCTTCCCCTTAGCCCTTCTGAGAGGGACCCTGGCCTTTCCTCAGACCTCAGAGCTGGAAGAGAAGCTACTGACCCCCTCTTCGTGTTGACTGGAGCCCATCTGTGGGAAGGGACTTGGTGTATGTCACCCAGTGAGCCAGTGGGGAAATGGGACAGGGTGCCAGCCCTGGTGACTCCAGTCTGCCACCCCTGGTGGGCCGTGGTCATGCGGGACCCAAGTGGGGGGTGGTTTGGGGAGGTTTCTTCTTGCCTTATCTGTGCACAGCAGGGAGGGGGTGATTGGGGAGGGTGGTATCCCCAGGACCAGGTACTTCCCCAGACTGTTCCTTAAGCACAGACATGTCATGTGCTGGGCTTTTCAGGCAAACACTGCCAAGCCTAGCATCCCTCTTGGTTCATCGCCCACTCCACACACTAAAGGCTCTGAGAAGGCCTGCCCAGCTGGGTTGACCCAGCATGACCCACTTGCACCTGTGAACCTCTCCATGCTGCGCGGGTGCTGGGGTTAGCGGGCCCCAGCCAGAGCGGGGAGGCAGCAGGCTTTGAGGACAGGTGGGCAGCTGTCAGGGGTAGAGGGCCCCAAACCCTCCCTGAGAACGTGTTTGGTGTCTGTTCCAGGCTTCACTACGGCTTCCGTCACAGTACAACTTTGCCATGAACGTGCACGGCCGAGTGAAAGGCCGGACCGGGCTGAGGGTGGTGGTCAAGGCTCTGGACCCCACTGCCGGGCAGCTGCATGGCCTCACCAAAGAACTCACCGATGAGATCCAAATCCAGGTAAAGAGCAAGGGGGGCAGAAGCCACCGTTATAGGGAAAGCAAGTGCTCCCCCCCCACCCCAGGGTCATTCAGGCCCACATCAGCCCTGCTACCGCCCGTGCACCTGATGACTTCTTGGCCTGCAGGGATCAGGAGTATATAAGGTGCTGTGGGAGCCCAGAGTTGGGGCTGCCCAGGGCCATCAGGATGGGGGCGGGTGGCCGGCAGGCCAGGTGGAAGGAATGGTGTGTACAAAGTCCTGGCGGTCTGAAATAGCTCAGTGTGTTCCCCAAATAGCAGATAATTCTGCACTTAGAGTCTGAGGCACCTTCATAGTAGGAAGAAGCTGGAAAATCATGAAGCATTCATTGAACTGTGTTTATTTCACAAATACTCAGCACTTAACGGAGGCAGGCTTGCCTTTCACCACTTCCCAGTGTTGTTTCACCTGGGAGGTGTTCCCATGAAGCCAGCAGGGCGCTGCTGCCTGATGATGAGTCTGCGGCCCGAGGGGGTAGGGGTCAAAGTGCCCCTCCAGGTCACGGTGAGTGGGTGGTGGGCCCAGAAAGGCCTGGAGGGCTATGCTGTATGGACGGCCTGGCAGACAGTGTGATCTATTGATTCACAGACGGAAACCGAGCCTCAGAGAGGGAGGGGGGCTGCTCAGAACCCCCAGGGGTACACCACTGAGTCAGGACCTAGAGCCCAGCGGTTCTTCTCCCACCTGGGGCTCAGCACCCATGTTTCTCTCTCCAGCCTGCCCTCCTACCTCCCCTGTCCTTCGGGGCCCCTCTCTAAAACTAGGGAAGGGACAAGTTGCTTCTGAAGAGCATTTTTAGCTTCACAGGGCCCTGTTCTACTCATCTGGGACTCAGTAACCTCTGGGTCCCCCTAAATTGCAAAGAAAAACTGAAAGTCGCCCTTAAATATCATGAGAAAGAAACAGATTCAAGCCTCCTCTTCAAGATGAAATAAGCCATTTCTAAACTAGACACTTACCTCGTCAGGGGTAAAGATTTTCAAAGAAAGAAACACCCATTTAGCAACCCCCTCACCTCTGTCTGCATGCATGCATGTACACGCAGACCCACAAACATACACAGACTCACAGACACATACACACATGCACATGTACGCACACTGATACAACGCATATATACATGCACATACACACATACGTGGATAAATACAGTTACACAGACCCAAATACAAATATACATTCTTCCCAGTTAAAAATAAAATGAAATCATGTCTGGCACCTCTCATGGGATTAAAGACGGGGCTTTGTAGCTTCCAAATTCTGTGACCTCACTTGAGTCACTTAACATCTTTGTGCCTCGGTTTCCCTAGCTGACAGCAGCTGGAGGTTTGAGTACATCCGAAACTTCGAGACGCTGGATCTAGCCCACAGATGTATTTGCTTTGGTTCATGTAGTGCTCAGAAACAATTTTTATTTGTTGCCAACATTTAAAAATAGGAAGATGTTGTCTAAAAACCCAGTAGGCAGCTTGTCCTGAAGATGGGGCGTCTTGCCACGTGGCAGAATCAGCAGGCGATGAGAAGCAGCCTCCCCGCAATGGAGCCGGCCCCACACCTCCCCGTCATTGTCCCCCAGGTGGTGAGGCCACGGGTCCGTCGCTGTTGACCCTGGTGCTCGCACTGTTGCTTTCCTGACACTTGAGTTAACAGGAAAGTTAGATCGCTCTTACACCCTCCCCTCCCTCTAAAGAGGGGCAAAAAAGCACATGCATTTAAGAAAAACAGGAAACCTATTTGTGGGTGTGTTTCCTGTGCTGTGTGTGTGTGTCCGAGTCAGAACCAGCGAGGCTGCTGCACCCTGGGCACCCCCTGCCTGGTGGAAGGACCCCCTGAAACCAGAACCCCATCTCGCTCCCAGAGATCATTTATCATTCACCATTTAGGAAGTGCCGCTCACGTTGCCACACAAATCCCACAGCATTTTGAGACAGACATGGCAAGGATTATGGTTTTAGACCCATTTTACAGATGAGGAAATCTAGGCTTATGTATATGATCAGAACCCAGCAGTGCTGGGAGGGAAGGGGTTTCCTTGGAAAACCAGGCCCTTCGCATCCAGCCCGTCTGATAAGATCAGAAGCCAGAGGGGGAGCTCAAAGCTGGGTTCAGCATCCAGGCCTGGATGCCAAAGGAGGTCCTCCCAAGGCCCCCTAGAGAAAGGGACTTGGAAGGGCAGTGGGCAATTAGGGTGCTTGTCGGGAGGGGTCTGGAGTTCCCGTAAGAGCTGCGACCCTGGGCTGGGGAGCTGTGGAAGGCCTCGGGGCTCCTGAGAAGTGAGGATCAGATTCGATCTGATTCGCTCCAATACTACCAGGTTTCTCATGGGCCAGCCTGGTCCAATGACACGCCCCGCCCTGCCCTGTGCAGCTCCTGGGAGAGCATGGCAAGAGGGAGGAAGATCAGGGCCAAGGGGCGGATGGGACTTATTCCGAGATGGGCACAGTGAGGAGCAGCTGAACCAGACCCTGGGCCCTGTAATTTTGTACACTGCCTTCTGTGCCCATAAAGATCTCCCCACCACGGGAACTTGGGGGGCGGCCCGTGCTCCCTGGTTCCATGAAGCAGCCGCCGTCGGGCTGCGCAAACATGAGCCTGCCGCTTGTTCTCATCACACCTCTGGCCTCTCTTAAAAGTCCACCCTTCACATCCCATCCCCTGACGCCTGGCAGGTGCCCACAACAGTGTTCCTCCTTTCTGGGCCCCATTGGTCGCACTGCCAGGAGGGGAGCAGGGACCTGGGCGGGACTCCAGCACATCCCAGAGAGCAAACCTTGCCCTCCATTCCAGGTATTCGAGAAGCTGCTGCTGCTGAACCCTGAAATAGAAGCAGAACAAATATTAATGTCACCCAACTCATTTATAAAGCTTCAGACAAACAGGTACGTGACTCAGCGCTTGTTTGCAGCAGGGCTGAGAAGCTGCGCTCCACATCCGACAACTCATTTGTCAAAGTTGTCAGGAGCCGCGGATGCTTCAAGAGAACTGCGTCTCTCTCGGTGTGAAGTGGGTGCGGCTTCTGCATTCCCCTTTCTCTTCCCCATGGATTTCTCCTGCTGTTCCACATCACTGGTCCCCGGGGGTCCACCTTTTCTTCCCTGTCACCTAGAAAGCTTTTAATGCCTACTGCTCAAGTCCGCGACTCCAAAGGGAAAAAAGTACCACCTTGGAAGAGTTAAATTTTCAAATGCCCCTTTGTCTTCAAGACTTGCTGTTCGGTGGGTATCATTCCTGAACCAGCAGCATGGGCATCATCTGGGAGCATGGTAAAATGCAAATTCTGGGCCACAACCCAGACCTGCACTCAGCCAGATCCCCACTCGTTGGGGACGTACATCAGTGTCTGCAAGTATAATTCCTGCCTTGCATTCACGTGGGGTGCCTTTGGTAGCAATGACTTGCATGTGAACTGTGGTTTGCAAAGTGGGGGGGCTCTGAGGACCCCAGGGGTACTTGCATGTTGCATGAAACACATACATGTGGTGTTTGTTCAGCCACAGTGTCTAAATGCCAGGCTGTGTGCTAGGCTCCTGGAACAGAGTTGGATGACATTCTGGTGGGGAAGAGAGGAGTATAGCATAAGGGCAACAATCAAACAAGGTATAATGGTTAAGCCATAGCCCAAAGAAGGGCCTTCTGTGCGATGATTTAGGGGAGTCATGTCAGATAGAGATGGTTGAGCTGGGTTTTTTTTTTTAAGATTTGATTTATTTATTTGAGAGCAAGAGAGCTCGATCATAAGCAGGGGGTAGGGGTAGAGGGAGAAACAGGCACCCCGCTGAGCAGGATGCAGGGCTTGATCCCAGGACCCCAGGATTGTGACCTGAACCGAAGGTAGACACTTAACCAACTGAGCCCCCCAGGCGCCCCTTGAGCTGGGTCAGTTCATCCTGAAGGATGAACAGGACTTCTGCAGGTTCCAGGGAAGGGGTAGGTGATGGGGGAGAAAGTTGAAGCAGAGGCAATAATACTTATTTAATGTTGTCTGAGGAGGGTCTGGAGGGCTGCGTGCAAAGAGCAAGGTGAGGGGGCTAGCCCTGGGGGCTGAACACATTTCCTTCCTGTTGTTTCTTTATTATATAATAAATGTGAGAGTACAAAATACTGTAGAATTTGTCTTCTACCCAGTGCAGATCATCAGTAGCTTTACGAACCATTTTCTGAGCAAGTAGCCCATTTTCATCCCATTCCCTGCCCTTGGAAATAGGACAGGGCAGGACCATTGCTTCCCTTTTTACAGTTGGGGAAACTGAGGCTAAGAGAGGAGACACGAGGTGCTTCAAGGCATGCAGCTGTCTGCGGGGCGTTGGGACTGTGGTCAGGATCTGCCCAACTTCGGGCCCCATCCTCTTTCCACTGTGCCAGGCTGCCCTCTGTCAGTAAATGGGAAACCGTTTGCCCCAGAAAAGATCTTTTACAGCAAAAGTCCCATGCAAGGGATGAGAGCAGCTTAGCCCTCAGTCTTTTCTCGCAGAAGCAGTGCTCTCCTTGGAACCATCAGTTTTCCACATTAGGTTTCCCATGGGTGGCTGAGGAGGCTGCAGTCAGGCTGCCCACCTGGGTCCTAATGAATAGCAGAGCCAGGATCAGGTTTTTCCTTCTTCCAGGAGCCCTTGGGAAACCCAGACAGCTGCATCTCCGGGCAGGGATGCCGGTCCCCTCACCAAGACCTGCTCCCACAGCCACGCTCTGAAAAACTGGGTCTGTTTGTTTTCCCAAGGGATGGCGCAGCATTTCTGAGCTACCGCGTCCTGGATGGGCCAGAGAAGGTTCCCGTGGTCCATGTGGACGAGAAAGGCTTCGTGACATCAGGGTCCATGATCGGGACATCCACAATTGAAGTGACTGCCCAAGAGCCTTTCGGGGCCAACCAAACCATTATCTTTGCTGTAAAGGTAGGATCGTGTTCTCCTCCTTTTGGAGTAATGAAAGCAAGAGCGTTGAGGCAAAAACGTTCCCCTCACAGTTGTAAAATGGATCTATTCACCTTCCAGCTGAGAAATTGTATGGAAGAATTTATTGAAGAATAACTTGGGGGCAAAGGTCCTGGAGGAAAAGCTATAGCATCTTCTGAATGTCAGAGCTGAAGTTCCTTAGAGGTTATTGATTGCAATGGCCTCATTTCACAGAGTGGGAAACTGAGGCCCAGCGAAACCTGTGATTTGCTGGGGCTGGCACCCCCGTGTCCTGACAGGACAGATGGTACCTGGAGCATGGTCGGTGCCCACGAGCAGTGACTGCGTGTGCTAGACACCCAGCGCAGAAATCATTGCATTACGTACGTGGTGACTAACCCATTTTACAGGCAAGGAAACAGACTCCTAGTGGAAGTGAGTCACTCTCGGTGGCTGCGAGGCAGGGTCGGGCCCTAACCCACGTGGGCTGGACTCAGGTTTGTGTGCCCTGGCCTCAGCACAATGCTTACCATGCCCCCCCGCCATTCCGTGCTCCTTTGTGCTAGGGACTTTCTCCTTGGGCGTCCTTGGGTCAGGTCCCCCAGATTTCCCACCTGTACCTCCTCCTAGCCACATTCTGAATCCTGAGTGACAGACGAGATGCGTGACTTCAAGTTTGAGATCCTGCTGGGGTCACAGACCTACTTCCTTAATTAATGCCTTTTTGCTTCAAGGTGGGAACCCTCCACCCTACTCTTTGAGTAAGTAGAAGTGACTCACTGCTCACCCTACTTCAGCAAATATGTATTGAGCACCAGCTGTATACCTGTCACTGCACCCACTGATCTTTATCCCAGAAATTAGGTCTTTTGAGGGGGCGGAAGTTCTGGCCAGGATAGATTTTACTCGGAGTCAAGGGACCAAGGCCTCCATCTCTGGCGCTCGGGTTCCCTCCTCCCCATCCTGCTTTCCCTGGAGCATCTGCAGGCTCCCAGCAGCTCCCAGTTAATGCCTCCTCTGCAGTCCAAATGGGCATTGTTTCCACTTAAGACACCCGGAGAGCCAGGTTTCCCAGAGAAACCAAACATTCAAAGCCCAGGGGATATTTTTGCAAATGTGAATAATGATCTAATTTTTCAAAGCCATGGGTTTTGACTCTTGTAGGTTGGGTTTTTTTTCGTAAGCCCGGCCTGCTGTGTGGGGAGGCAGGAGTCTCATCACTAGGCTGGGACACTCAGGAGACCAAGGCCTTTTCTCTTTCGTGACCCCCGAGTCGATCCAGCTCCCGGTCCTTCCTGAGGGAGGTGACCCGCCTGGGGGCAGACGTCTCGTCCTGGGGAAGCTGGTTCCCAGGGCGGTCACCACCACACCTGCTCACTATCCTCAGGTGTCTCCAGTTTCTTACCTGAGGATCTCCATGAGCCCCGCCCTGCACACCCAGAACAAGGAGGCTCTGGCATCCCTGCCTTTGGGAACGACTGTGACCTTCACGGTCCACTTCCATGACAACTCCGGAGACATCTTCCATGCTCACAACTCGGTCCTCAGCTTTGCAACCAACAGGTAGGCTGTGGGTGACCCTCATTTCTCACTGGAAGGCGTTCCTCAGTTGTACCTGGATGGCAACTGGACAGCCTAGTGCCACTGAAAGGAGACTTTGTTACCTGCAGTCGCCAAGAGGAGGGGACGTGCCACACTTCTAGGGCCACAGGGGGAAGCCCTGGGCTCGGCCAGGAGGCAGGAGTGAGGAGAAAGCGGGGCCCAGAGCCTTTATTACCATGTGGCAGGAAGCTATCGGTAATGTGCCCTGTTGGCCAGGAGGCGAGACACAGTGTCGGGGTTGGTTCTTGGAGGGCTTGTGGTAAGACTTGTGTGTGCCTGGGAAAGCCCCCCGCAGGGGAGACGCACACGTTCCAGCGCCCCGGTGCGGGTGAGGAAGGAGTCTGACGCTCACTGCCTCTCCTGTGTCTCACTGATGCCTCACTATAGCCTATTTGTCAAGGCTCAGAGAGGTCAAGCCACTTGCCCAGGGTCACACAGCCAGGAAGTGGTTTTGAATACCAGGTCGCATCTGGTTCCACGTGCAATTCATTTTGGCTCTTTGGAAATACAGCTGCAGCCACAGGCCTCATGTGAGGCGAGAGAGAGGGTGCTCTCCAGAGCAGGAAGAGAGCCGTGGCCTCAGTCTGGGCCTGCTGAAACCTCTGACTGGGTCTGCTGGAACAGTGAGTCTCAAAGCGTGGTCCCCAGACCAGCAGCGCCAGCAGCACCTGGGAGCCCTTAGAAATGCAAGTGCACAGGACCCAACACTCTGTCTTTTAAGGAGGCTTCCAGGCAATTCTAAAGCTTGAGAACTACTGCCCCAGGGGCCTGCAGACCAGCTAAAAGCAGGAGAGAGGCATCAGGCACAGAAGGAGGGTCTTGGGCGGGGGTGCTAGGGAGCATGGGAGGCAGAAGATTGTATCCAGGTGTGGGTGTCCGTTGTAAGTTGGCCTCCCCACAGGCCTGCGACAGACTTGTCCCCTATTGCTCACATACCCGGGGCCAGGCATGGGGGATGTAGCATGGTAGAAGGACCGGGGTTTGGGGTTAGACCCAGTTCAAGCCCCAGCTCTGCCCTTTGTGGGCCCTTCCTAGGCAAGGCAGCTCACCTCTCCAGGCCTCCGTCTCCACACCTGTTGTGTGGGGAACCTGCCTCGTCCTCAGGGCCATCAACTGAGGCCATAGTCGCAAAGGCCTCTGGCAAACCGTGGAGCTCCATGCATGTGGTATGGGCCGTGCATCTGTCTGAGACCTAGGCTACCCTGGAGGAAGTGGAGGCAGGTCCTCCCAACCCCTCAGCTACCCCACAGAAGTCCCGCTGGCCTTTTTGTGGTGGGAGCACCTCTCCTGGAGACCAGTCAGGGCTCAGGGGTCAGAAGGCACAGTGGAGGAAAGGGAGGAAGCCAGAGACCCTACCCCTCAGGCCAGCCAGTCCAGGCCTGGTGTTGACCAAGCACTAACCACGTGCCGGCCACTGGTCTCACTGCTTTATAGCCACCGACCTAGTTTCACACTTACATCAAGCCTGGGACGCGGGTACATCCTCATTCTCATTTTACAGAGGAGGCAGGGGGCAGAGGTCGTGCCTCCCGAGAGTGTCCCAGTTCACTGTTGGGAAGGGATTGGCAAGCACTTTGTAGGCAAGCGTTTGCCCTCTGGCCTCAGCCTTCCCCTCTGGAACGTGGGGGATGTGTGCCGGGCCACCCCAGCTGTGGGCCATGGGCTCCTCCCAGGGAAGAGGAGAGGAGGTCAGGTTCATGTGGCCTGTGGTGGCCCCAGATCTGCTTGGGAAACTTGAGCCAGGGGACGTCTGGGGCCACAGTCAGCAAGAAGCTTCACCGGGCAGGGGACTCAGTGTGTTTCTCCCTCTGAAGTCGTGCGCCCCTTCCCTGAGACTGAGAGCCTGCCTCCCCCTCCTGTGCCTAGAGATGAGTTTGTGCAAATTGGGAAGGGCACCACCAACAACACATGTGTCGTGCGCACCGTCAGCGTCGGCCTGACGCTGCTCAGCGTGTGGGACTCGGAGCACGTGGGCCTCTCCGACTTCGTCCCGCTGCCCGTCCAACAGGCCATCTCCCCGGAGCTGTCCGGAGCGGTGGTGGTGGGGGACGTCCTCTGTCTGGCCACAGTCCTGGTCGGCCTGGAAGGTAAGAGAGGTGGATACTGGCCGGGGAACCCTTCTGAATCCAGGCAGTCACGAAGATGGGAGCGGGCTCCTGTTGTAAGGGTAAGACAAGCCGAGCTCATCGGAGGTTCAAGAGCAGGTGTCAGAACCCATGTCCACAGCCCGACACGTGTACCATCTGGCCCTTTACCGAGCAAGCCTGCCAGCCCTGTGCTCACCTAGCGCTATTTGGTAGAAGTTTCTGCCACTGCGGAGATACCCTGTATCTATCGTCTAACGCGGGGGGCACTCACAATCCAACCCTGGAAATGTGGCTAATGCGACGAGGAGCTACTTGTTTCATTTGAATGCATTTCGTGGCTAGTGGTTACAGTGTAGGACAGAGTACCTCCGAAAGGAAATGTAAGCAAAGAATAGCTACTGGGCCCGTTCCACGATTTCCAGATTTCAGCCGCTCCCACACCACCTGTATATCCATGACCTACGTTACTTGTTTTGTTTCAGGTTTTCCAAGTGACTCCTTATTTTTTAATCTAATTAAATTCATTTTGAAAGGAAGTTAAACGCTGCCCTTAAAGAAAAACAAATCTAATGTGCCAGAAATAGAATGTGGTTGTTATTTTGTGGTATATATTCTATAATGTGATTGGCTTTTAACTAAGAAGTACTGTCCAGCACTGGCTCTTGAGCCTGACACCAGCTTTGTTTGACACAGTTGGGGGTGGGCAGGGGCGGTCCTGTGGGGAGGGCCTGCTCCCAGGTCATTCCAGGACAAGGGAATGATCAGGAGATTGCAAGCAGGGAGGCAGTGGAGAGAAAGGAGGGCCAGAGGTTCACTCTGGGCAGGGTGGCAGCTGTGCAGAGAGCAGGTGACCTAGACCTGCAGGTGGCCCCAGGTGGCCACGGCCAGGAGCCGGTGGGGGGCGGGGGAGGGCCAAGCCAGGGTGCCGAGGCCAGTGGGATGGCTTCTACCCTGAGGGTGACGAGTGAGCAGCAGTGTAGAGCATGGGGCTGGGCGGGGCCCCCAGGAGGCTGGCACGGTCACCCAGGGCACAGGGTTTGGCCGCAGTTTCAGATGTGGGAACGGTGAGTGACAGCCAGGGCTTCCTCTCCCAGGCCTCTCTGGAACCTGGAGCTCCTCGGCCAGCAGCATCCTCCACATCGAGCCCAGGACAGGCGTGGCTGTGGCCCGAGAGGCGGGATCTGTGACGGTTTACTACGAGGTTGCTGGGTACCTGAGGACCTACAAGGAGGTGGGGCTTCGGGGCATACGTGGCTGACCCACTCGGGGTGAAACCCTTAGCTTTCTATACTGAACACCTCCCTTTTCTCGAGAAAAGAAGCGGTAGCAGCTTGTCAGCGGTCAGGATCCGGAGTCAGGAGTCTGGGTTCTGCTGCCTACTGCCTCTGGGATTGGAACAAGCTCCCTTTTCTGCACAGGCCCCCGCCTCCCCACATTCAAAATGGTGCCATGACAGGGGCTGATGTCCTGGGGTGGCTGCCCTCCCCCCGCCCCCCGGCTTCCATGCACTCTGGTGGAAGGGCCGGAGCGTCCCCCGGGGGCGTCTCCCCAGGAATCTCGGCGTGGGCAGGCCAGCACGGTGATGTGGCGTCACCAGCAAAGTTAAGCCTCCCTGGCAAGTCACCTCTTGACGCTTTCTGGAGGCGAACAAAACCGTTCTCTCTTCTATTTATCTCCAGCTGAGAATGAATCAATGAGCAACGTCTGGCTGTGTTCCAAATGTGTCTCATTTTAGAGCCAGCGTGCACATGATCGAATCCAGCAGTTTAAGCTAATAGCTCACATATTTAGTGCTGGGGCTGTGCAGTGGGTGAGCCGGTCCCAGAGAGGGGCACCTTGTGACTGATGAAGCTGTGCCCTCCCCGGAGGAGCCGCCAAGAGTGGGCAGGGGCTGGGGCGGTGGGGAGCTGGATGAGAGAGCATGGCATAGGCAAAGGTGTGCCGGGCTCGAGAGCGCAGCCCTGGTGGCCGGAACCTAGGCAGTGGGGGGAAATGGAGGCTGGCATTGCAATCGTGATCCACCCTGGGTTCCAGGTAGTTCTGTGGGGTGGTTAAGCATGTGAGCTCTGGGGCCAGGCTGCCTGGGTTCCCATCCCAGCTGGGCCACTGAGAGGCTGTGTGGCTTCGGGTAAGTTATTTCCCCTCTCTGTGCCTTGGTTTTCCTGTCTGTAAAATGGACAGAAGAGTGTTGTTAAGGATTAAAGGCACTCACATATGTGAAACATTTAGAATGGTACTCAGCAAATGTTCAGTAGGTATTAGCTGCAACTGTTACTATTCCAGAGCAAAGAGGTGGAAGCTTATGCCAAACCCAGGAGGGATTCATCAAGGATTTTTTTTTTTTTTTTTTTTTTTACAGTAGAGAGTGATCTAGATCAGAGGTAAGGTTTAGAACGGGTCCCGGTGCCTGGCAGTCTAAGAGCCCAGGAGAGGGGGAGGAGCTGCAGGGTAGCCAGCCAGGGGGCTGAGGATGGGCCTTCAGCTGGCACTGTTGTGTGGCCAGAAACTAAGGGTGGGTTTGGGGAAGATTAAGGAGGGGGGTCACCAGAGCTTGAAAACCATTTGGAAGTAGGGAATGAGGGAATAAGAGGCTTTGGGGATGACTGCCCCGGGGTCTGGCTTGGATGACAAGGTGGATGTTGGTCCTTAACCCTGACCGGAGGTTGGTGGGGGAGGTTAGGGATGCAGAAGGAGTGGCCAGCGTGGGTGGAAGATGAGTGAGTTGAGACATGGCCAGCTTGATGTGGTTGCAGCTCCTCTATGTGGGGCTGATGGTGAGGCAGCAGGTGTTTCTGGAGCTCCGGGGCAGAAAGCTGGAGATGGGGTGGGGGTCTAAGGACAGAAATGGTTCTGGAAGACCTGAGAGTGGATGGGAACATGCAGAACATACCAGAGCAGGAGGGGAGAGGAGCAAGGCCTTGGGCCCCCTCTGCAAGGTGTGAAGGAGGAGGAAGAGGAACGGGGAAGAAGACGGTAGCATGGTGGTCAGAAGGAGTCCAGGAGAAGATGTGAAGAACTAGGGCCGGGGTGCAGGTGCCTACCAGTGAGTCTGGAGGTGATGGGGCCAGCCTGTGGGCCTGCCTATGCTTCTGTGTCAGCCATGGCCCTGGGAGCTGCGTGGGCTTTGGGGAGGAGTGAGACCCCATCCCGGCTCTTAGGGAGATCACGTTCCTGGGAGGCAGGAAGTGCTGAGTGCCTGCCCAGAGGTGGGTAGACAGACTTCCAGCTAGAGGGGGTGACACAAGCTGGGCCTGCAAGGGGTCCGGCTCTGATGGGGTTAGGCTCTGCAGGGGAGGGTGGAAGCTTAAGGAAGGCACACAGCTGGAGGGGTTTGGGTGTGGCCAGTGCAGGATGAGCAAAGGGGATGGGCAGGGAAAAACCTGGGAAGACTTGAGTCTGGGGGAGCCTTCCCTACTCAGGCTGTGTGAGTTGCATTTTAGGGTGATTTATTTTGAATAAATGACAGTAAAGTAAAACAGCGCCTTCGCTCTTTGCCGAAAGACTAATTAACCAAACTGATGAACAGAGAAGTGATGGCAACCTCCACGGGAGCCAAGCTCTGCGCCTCACCCCAAACCGTTGAATGAATTCAGGCCTGCCGTTCAGCTCGTGCTCCGCTGTTCAGGAAAAGCAGCCTGTTCAGCGGGAGAGGGCAAGGCTGCAGAGTCTGACTGGCCCGGGGTCTAACCCCAGCTCCACCACCTCTGGGCAGGTCTTCCAGATGTTGAGCCTCAGTTTTGTCCCCTGTGCAATGGGCCGTGCCCATAAACAGGCAGCAGGGTGAGGTCAGGAAAATGGCCGGCATGGAGCCCACACATGATTGGTGCTCAGTGTAGCTGCCTCGGCTCCCTCCCCAGATAGTGATTGGTGTCCCTCAAAGGATCGTAGCCCGTTCCGTCCGCCCAGGCCAGACCAGCTTCCAGGAGACCTCCAAGGTGACTGTCACCGTGGGAGACAGAAGCTCTAACCTGAGAGGTAGAGAGTGAGGGGCTTGCTTGGTCTGGGGGAGGGGGGGAACTGGGCTCAGGGACTCTGCTGCGGTTTTGTCTGCTTTTCCCACTCAAACTCACGCCAAAGCCAGAGAGAGCATTTAAACCCCTGCTGGCCCATTCCTTCCAGCTTTTTAGAAATCCGAGTCCTCCACAAGCGGAGACCATGAAAAGAGATCTTCCTAAAAGAGCCTGGCACCCAGAAACGGCCTGTGTCTGAGCTGGAAATGCCACTTCAGCCCTAGGGCACCGAGTAAAGAAAGCCACACGTCACCCCCACTAATCCCAGAAAGTAATGACTTAGCAGGCCTCACTGCTGATTTTGATTTCTGTAATTACCTCTTCCAAGTCATGCATAGAACATTCGACCCTGTCCCCTGCCTATGACAGCCCTGGACACCAGCTGTCAGAAATAAATACATCAATACGGGCTGTTTTGGGGTTGGTTTTCTTTTTTTTTTTAACCACTTAACTGGTAGAATTAAATACAGCTGTTCTCGTTCTGATTGATGAGGCAGCTTTACTGCATCCAGTAACCTCTGTTTTCCTACCTCAGTGCACGGGGACAGCACCGTGCAGTTGCAGAAATGATACTCAGTGTATTAGTGGGGAACTGTTGCCCTCCTGATGTCCAGAAATAAATTGCCCATTTTCCCCTGCTGACAGGAACAGATGACGTGCATTAGTGGGCCAACCCATCTGCCGGGCCGCTGGATGCAGGCTCTAGCCCAAATGCTCAGATTCGGATCTGAAACTGCCCACGATTCAGAATGACCCTCCTCCTCCCTAGAATTGTCCTCAGCTTTTGTAAACTGTGGCAGCATCGTGAAGCTTGGGGCAGCCCTGGGGCACCCCGTGTGCGTCATTTTGCAGCCCCGCCGGCCTGTGTGCGGCCTGCTCTCGCTTCCTCATTTTGGGGCTCCGCGGGCAGGTACAGAGGCCCAGGTGGGCCTGGCCCATGCCCTTCTCACCCCCTTCCCGTCTCCAGGTGAGTGCTCCCCTGCCCAGAGGGAAATCATGGAGACTCTGCATCCAGAATCCCTCATTAGCTGCCAGCTCCAATTCAAGCAAGATGTCTTCGATTTCCCAGCACGCGACGTTTTCACGGCAGAGCCAGGATTTGACGCAACTCTGGGTGAGTTTGCAAGGGTCTCAGTGGGAAGACTGGCTCCTTTGGGTGTGTTCGGCTCACTGTCCCTCTGCATAGAGGGACGTTGTCTGTCGGGAGCTCCGGGGACCGATGCCACCCCTCTGGCCACTGGCCCCTTCCGGCCACCAGGAGGGGTTGGCAGGCCTGTGCTGGGTGGTGGCCGTTCTCCGCAGCCCCCACTCCATGCAGCAGGAAGGACACTTCTGAGTTGGAAAAGCTGGGTTTGAGGTCCAGAGCCAGTGGGTGTTGAGGCTCTGTGACCTGGGCAGGATGGTGCCTTGCCTGCCCGCATGTCAGGGCCGAGTGGTGCAAACGAGCCGGGGCTGGAAGGGTCCTGGGCCCACATGGCGTGTCCAAGCATCACCATTCCATGGCCCGTGGAGCTGAAGGCTGGTGCCCTGGGGTTGGAGCGACTGCCTGGGCCCCCGGCATGTGGGCCAGGTGACGCGGAGCGTCACCAACACAACCTGAGGAGAGGAGTGCCCTCCTGGGGCACTTCAAGGGTTCGGTAGGATAGTTCCTGTGACCTGCTTAGCACAGTGCCCGGCACACACTCCTGTTACCGAGTCCTCAATGGTAGAGGCCAATGTCATTATGATAATGACTGTTGATGAGCGTTTGGCCCACTTTTCAGTTCCTTCCAAGAACATGCTGCCCAGTCTTAATTAGGAGGAGTTAGCATCAGCATGACACCTGGCCGTAAGCCCAGCCTGCCGCGCCCCATGGCTCGGGTCAGCACCCGGGCCGCTGCCTAAGACGCAGGAGGTGTGTCCTCAGGACACGTCGTGTGTGGGGCCCAAGCGCACGGTTGGGCACGGAGCAGGCACCTGGGGGTCCCGTGCCCTATTTATTCGCGAATGTGGCCCCATGAGGGGTGCGATGTTATTCCCACTTTATTGAGGGAAACTAGCCGACTCACCGAGGGATGCTTGGCTGGCTTGGGCGTGGAAGGGACTCCAGCACAAGCACCCTGGTTCCAGACTGGGGGGCTCTCCAGGGCCCCGCTTGACAGTGTCCATTTAACTCATTTGTCTACCCAGGGCAGGCATGGAGGATCCAACAGGTATCAAAATCGTCCCAATCCATGCCTTTCCAGAACTTTCTGCTGTATCTGGGGCCATAGGCCGTACTGGGAGTCAGCCCCAACTGGCCTGTAGCCCAGCATTGGGTCAAGGTATCTGTTGATCGTTTACTCACCGTCCCTCTGAGCCAGGACGGCTGGGCCCTGAGATGTGGAGCTGGCCCTCGCCTTCCCACCCCAGGGAATGTCAGGGCGATGCGGATCTGGTGAACCAGAGCATTCTGAGAAAGGAGCGAGCAGGAGTGCTGGTCACAGAAAGCATGTTCAGGCTGGACCAGGGGTACCAAAGAGGGATGTCCTTGGAGGGTCCCAGAGGAGGTGATGCCTCAGTTGGGCTCTGAAGGATGAGAAGGAGTTGCCAGGAGAAAGAGGAGCATCAGGGCACGGGCGGGAGAGGGGACCGTGTGGAACATCCTCGTCTCCACAGGCCGGTACCTCTGCTCCGTCACAATGCACAGGCTGACAGACAAACAGCTGAAGCATCTCAGCATGAAGAAGACGGCGCTGCTGGTCACCGCCTCCATCCCGGGCATCCACATCCCAGGAGAGCACGTGGGCACCGAGGTGCCCTTCAGCCCAGGGCTGTACACTGACCAGGCTGAAATCCTTTTGAGCAACCACTACACCAGCTCGGAGGTCAAGGTCTTTGGTGCCATGGAGATTCTCGAAAACCTGGAGGTGAGTGGCGTCCATGCACGAGCCGGGGGCCTTGGAGAGGACCAGGAGGCAGGGAGGCCCAGGTGGAACGTGGAGGCCTGGACCACCTCTCTTTAAAATGAAAAATTTTTTTTAAAAAATGTAAATATGCCTTATCTTCTTCCTTCCCCCAGCATTACCATTATCTATGAGCCTGTGTAATTGTATTAGTTACTGTGACTTCTGCAAGTCTTCCCCAACCAGGAGTTAAGTATGCGAGGCCAGTACTTAGCATAGGGCTTCCCTAGCACGTAGTATGTGCTCAGTGAACATTTCGTATGTTCAATGAAGGAAGTCAGTGCAGGAATGCACACTGACATGGGGCAGAAGGAAAAAGCCCTAATCCCTGACCTATCACTGACGCCTGCACAACTGGGGACAAGTCCCTGGCTCTGGGCCTCGGTTTCCCCGTCTGCTGAATGCTGGGTGAATGGTGTCCTGGGTCCTGCTGCCCAGCAAGCTGGGAGAAGATCTGGGGTGATGTGGTGAAGGGGTTTTTGGCTCCACTGTTTGCTTCATCATCCCTTGTCTTGCTGCAGTGAATATGACTGAACATTCTTGGAGTGAGACAGGGATGAATTCATTGCTGGTGACAGAGGGTCTGCCAGGCCCTGGGGTTGAGCTGCTGGCGATCGGCCATAAACAGAGCTCCAGGCTGTTCCCTTGGAAAGTTGGCGTTTGATGATAGTTCATGTTAGCTTAGCATTTTTTTAAAGAGCACTTGATTAGAATTCAATGATATTGATTTGTCCTTTCTTAAAAACACTCCAAGTATAGACACTGTGCTCCTTCCCTGACTTTGCAGATTTCACGCTGTCAGAAGTACCCAGGCATCATCACCTGCCTAGGAAGAGGGCTTGGGGAGGGGTCTCCACCCCTGGCCTTTGGGCCCAGGAGGGAAGCCCAGCATGTCAGGCAGAAGTGGGGGGTGCTCCTCTCCAGCCCTAATGTCTCTCCCAGGTGAAATCAGGGTCCCCAGCTGTGCTGGCCTTTGAGAAGGAGAAGTCTTTGGGGCTCCCCAGCTTCATCACCTACACAGTTGGCGTCTCGGATCCCGCGGCCGGCAGCCAGGGGCCTCTGTCCACCGCCCTGACCTTCTCCAGCCCCATGACTAACCAAGCCATCACCATTCCGGTCACCGTGGCCTTTGTGATGGATCGCCGAGGGCCTGGTCCTCGTGAGTCACGGGATGGGGCACAGCTGGGATGGGCCTGGGTGAGGAGGGCTGGACTGGGTGGTCTTGGCTGTTTGTGGGAACCTGGGGGCGTCGAGAACTGGACGACTCAGAAACGCAGAACATCCTGCAAAGCGAATATCACTCATTCGAGCAGCCACACGTGCTTTGCTTCTCCGTCTGTTCTCAACATGGCAGCCAGAGGGATCCTGTTGAAATGTGACTAGATCATGCCCCTCCTCTGCTCAAACACTCTGCTATAGCTCCCACCTCCCGAGGGAGATAAAGCCCAAGTCTCCAGTGTCTTGAAAGGCCCAGCATAATCTGCCTTCCCGACCCATTTATGCTTGTCTCCCCCTTGAGCACCTTGCTCCAGCCACGCTGGCCTCCTTCCTGTTTTGAGGACATATGCAGCCCCCAGCTAAGTCCTTGGCATTCACTGTTCCCTCTGCCTGGGATGCCTGTCCCCCAGATAGCCCCTTGGCCCCCACCCCCACCTCCATCAAACCAACCTTCCCTCAAACATTCTCTGCTCATATAGTAGGAAACTTTGAACCTTACTTCCACTCAAACCCGTTTCCTTCTTCCATAGCACTATTCTCAACTGTCAGCCTATAGAATAATTAATACAATTAACTATGATTGCCACTGGTCTTCCGCAGCTGGAAGCTAAAGTGCTGTATGTGGGGACAGTGCTTAGAACAGGGCCTACCTAACGTACAGTAGGTGCTCAGTAATAGATGATTCACTGATTCTGTAGTCATTATTAGCACCTGCTGTGTACCAGGCCCTGTGCTGGACAGAGGCCTGAGAAGCCCGCCACCTCAGATAGGGCGTGGGTTATAAACACAGTAAGAAAGGAATGATTGTAAAGATGGGCCTTAAGAAGTGGGAGGCACACGGAGGGGGTAATTTTACCTCTGCCAGCTTGAGGGTGCAGTTCAAAGGGGCTGCTTACACCAGGTCTGGAAGGAGGAGTGGCCAGGGGGAGGGCGAGGCAGTCAGAAGGACCCTGGGGTGATGTGCAGGATGAAGGGCTGGGCCGTGAGGAGCCTTGAATGGCAGGCCGAGGACTCAGGCTTTTTCTTTTTTTTTTAAATTATTTATTTATTTATTTATTTATTCTTATGTTAATCCCCATACATTACATCATTAGTTCTAGATGAAGTGTTCCATGATTCATTGTTCGTGCACAACACCCAGTGCTCCATGCAGAACGTGCCCTCCTCAATACCCACCACCAGGCCAACCCATCCTCCCACCCCCCTCCCCTCTAGAACCCTCAGTTTGTTTTTCAGAGTCCATCGTCTCTCATGGTTCGTCCACCCCTCCGATTTCCCCCGCTTCATTTCAGGCTTTTTCTTGAGAGCAGGGAAGTGGTCTGGTCAGGTCTGGCTGAGAGCACACTGAAGGAGTGGGACCAATGTTAAGGGCACTTGAAGAGGCCACCACCTCCTTCCTGCCAAGCAGGGATGTGTTCTGACACAGGACAGCCCAGTGGCGGGGAGGGAGGGGTGCAGGATGAGGTAGGGGGAGATGGAAGAGGAATCCACAGTCTGGGCCACCCCGAGGCGGGGCCCCAGAGGAGGGGTGGCTTTGGAGCAGCTGATACTGGGCTCCCTTGGTGCTTGGGTCTCAGTTCTGAGAGCAGCAGTATCCCTGTCCAGTGCCTTTGCCCAACCCTGATGTCCACTGTCATGAGCAATGCTGCTCACGGCTTGACGTTTTCAACACTGCCTTGCCTTTCCGGGCAACTTGGCTGCCTCCTGGGCAGCCCCCACCCTCCGACTCCCCCGGACAGGTCTGTTCTTCCTTGGAATGGGTACCGAAACTGAGCCCACTTCCAAGGAAGCGGGGGCCTCAGGGGCCTCGGGTGGAACTGGGTCGGTTCAAGTGGCCCAGGATGGAATAGGACGGAGCACTGGGGTGACCGCCCCACAGGACCAGACGCCGCCCCAGGCCTCGGGCAGGCCACCTCACCCTCTGGCCACCCACGCAGACATAAGGCAACTCCGTGCGTTGCTTTGGTGACTTGTCTTTCCATCGATCGCAGACGGAGCCACCCTCTTCCAGCACTTCCTGGACTCCTACCAAGTCATGTTCTTCACACTTTTTGCCCTGCTGGCTGGGACCGCTGTCATGATCATAGGTGAGGTGGGCCGCATTGTGTGCCCTGGGTTGCTCCCCCCCCAACTCTAACCAGCCATGTGGTCTTGCAGCCTACCACACAGTCTGCGCGCCCCGGGAGCTCACCGCACCTCCGGCCCTCTCCCCACGAGCCAGCCCTCGCCACAGCCCCCACTGTGAGTAGCCCCCTGGTGGATGCAGCCAGGCAGGGCTGGGGCTAAGAGGGAGGGGTCCTGAGGGAGGAAGTGGGCCCTGAACCCCAAGTCTCAGAAGCTCTGGCCCTGGGCAAGAGTGGCAGCTGAGGTGTGAGGCCCAGAAGGCAGATTGGGGAGCTGGTGAGGGAAAACAGTATGCCAGTCCTGGGCGAGGAGAGCTTTCCCAGGCAGGTCGGTGCAGGGCAGCGGGCTGGCGGCGGGGAGTTGTCTCTGACGGTGTGCTCTCTGGGCCTGGCTCCCCCTACCGGGGCTGCCACCGAGGGCTCTAAGCTGGGTTGGGCTGGCTGACTCAGAGGTGAGGGTTCCGGACAGGCCTGATGACGGATCTCCCAGAGGGAGAGAAATCACGAGGGCCATTCCTCTTCATAGTCCGGTTGTCTCTGGTGACCCTGAGGTCCTGGTGACCCTGTACGGCTCCAGGGGACACTTCTCCCTGTGAGAAGTGCAGTGCCTGACCATGAGGGCGCATGGCAACCCTTATGTCTTCTGTGTTCCATTGGAGGGTTCTCTCCCCTGAACAGGTGTCTACTGAGCCTAAGGGGCATGGCCAGGCTTCAAAGGATCTGAATTTTTTGGAAGAGAATGGTTTTGTGTATAGATGCATTTTCCTGGGTGACAAGATCCCGCATGCATCCTGGACCCCTAGAACCATAGCCTTCCACAAACGTTCCCCAGCCACCCTGGCAGTGGGCATTCACCTTTTCTAACCCCGTCTCCCAATACACCCCTCCCTCTGTGTGTTGGAGCCACTGCGGAGTTTTGGCATTAGCTCTTGAACACTCCAGACTCTTCCGCTCACATTGGAGTCTTTGTTCATGCAGCTTTCCCTGCCCAAGGAGCTGCTCCTGCCCAGATGGACAGGCTCTCCTCCCTGCATGCCCTGTGGACTCATGGCCGCTTCCGTGTGGTCCTGAGACCCACTCCTTGCTCTCTCCCACAGGTCTGCTGTGGGGGGTCAGGGCTTACGCTCCAGGCCTCTCTGCATGTCCGGCCATCACCTGTTCCTTGGGTGACATCACACCGCCGGCCCAGGGCTGCCTGGGGGCGTGGTCAGGGGGGTGGTGGCTGACACTTCTTCTATCAGGAGCTGTTCTGACATGGGCACTGAGGAATCCCTGAGGAAGGCCGAGGTCTCCCATCTACTCTGTCACTCACTTCTTCTCTCTCCGCTCCAGATTTCGCTGCCTCGTCGCCGACGCCTTTCACCGCACTGCCTCCCAGCCGTAGAGCTAGCCCGCACTCGGGGCTCTGGAGCCCCGCATACACCTCCCACTAGCCAGTGGGCCAGCCCTGCGCCCCCGCGGTGGGGACAGCGCCAGGCCCGCCTCGCTGCCTGCTCTGTTCTGGAGCTCAGGCTGTGCCCGCTAGCTGCTGCTTACACGCAGGAGTTCCAGTTGGCTTTGGTTTGGTTTCGTTCTTAGCCTTTGCGAAGATGCTGGCTCATTCCTTTGTGCCTGGTTGTCTGGGGTTTCTGGACAACATGTAGTCATGCTTTTCTTTCCCTCCAGTCTCTAGAACCACTCTCTTCTCAAGACTTTGAGCAGGCAGAAGCTCCATTTCCTAGGAGGGGATGTGACTGCAGTGGCCTCAGGGAAAGGACTTTTTAATCACTTCATTTTTGTGGGGTGTTCCCCTCACGTGAAAACTTTACCCCTAGTCTGGCTCCTGCTAGGAGATGAGGGGAGGGAACAGACATGAGTGTCAGGTGCGGGCCCCGTGACTGCACAGAAGCCTCAGGAACGCAGTGGTGGGGACCCCGTGCTGGCTCAGCCTCCCCGGGGGGAACGCTCACTCACCACGGGAGCCGGGAGCCGGGCCGCCTTCTGCCCCTCTGTGGGCCACTGTGACTAAGCGTGGGAACGTCTCCTGGACGTGGCCACAGCACCATTGGGATGTCCTGTGGGGTCTGGTTCCTTCTCCCTCTCCTGGCCTCTCTATGGAATCGTAGTTAGGAAAATGTCCTTGAGCCGGAGACCGGGATCTGTTCTTCTGTGTGTTCTCCTGGAGAAGCCGCTATGTTCCGCCCAAGCGCAAAGACCAGTGTTCATCTGTTCCTCCTTTTGCATCTCAGCAGACCTGAGCCTCTGGCCCGCCCGGCGCGGGCACCAGTCTCCCCATTGGCATCCCTCCCCAGCAGGCCACGGAGCCCGACCTGGCCAGTGAGGGGGGTGGGCCTGCCCTCCAGGAAGGGGCTGGGAAGGAGAAGACAACGAGGAAAAGGCCCTCCTCCTTCCCAGACCCTTGTTCATTCAGCATCGGTGGCCCCCAGAACGCGGCCCCTCTGCCCTAGGCCGAGAGCCGTGCCACTCTCAGGATGAACTGGGACGCCCCGCAGGGCCAGGTATGCATGGCCACTGTGTGTGGGGAGTCGTCCGCTTGACTCTGAGCCACAAGTGTGAATCCACTTCAGGCCTCTAGGGCTGGACCATGTGATTTATTTTTTGTAAAGCTGGAGACCGGAAGAATTGTGCCTTGCATATTACTTGAGCTCAGACTGACAACTTGGATGTAAATAGGCGCGTTTCTACTTGGTTTATTTAATAAAGCTCTAATTTCGTAAGAGGGGCGTGCTCATTGCCAGAATTGCAGGCGTCCTGCCTGGGGAGCAAGTCTGTTCTGCTGCCCCTCTGTGCCACACTCCCCTTCTCTGACTGGCCACCAAGGCCTCCCTCCGGTGCTGTCTTCCCATGGCTGCCAGCCCTGAGGACATGGCAGCCAGCCCTGAGGACATGGCAGCCCTGCCCACATGTCACCGGGTATCACCACGGCCCCCTTTCTCTCTCTCTCTCTCCCTCCCTCTCTCCCTTGGGAGCTGTTCCTTCCTCCTGCCCTTCCTGCCCTCCTGCCCCACTGGCTTCCACCCCCACTCTCCTCAGAAGCTGACCTCCCTGGGATCACCATCCCCCTGCTTACTGGTCCCCAGCCCCTCCCCCTCTGTCCCGGTGCTTGCTCCCCTCAGGGGTGGTCCCCTGCTGGCCCTCCATGACCCCCTAGGGCCTAGCCTGCTTTCACAGAGTACTCACGGGCTCACCCCGAGGGCCCAAGGTAGGTTCTGCTGTCCTGTGTCATGGGTGCAGGAGTGGAGCAGATGCCTAGAGAGGCCAGTTGGCCGCCCGAGGTGGCAGGCTGCCCGGAGGTGCCTCTGGTCGAGGCCACCTGTCCCCCACATCACCCGCCTTCTTCCTTAGGACCCAGACCACTGACTCGGAGCAGGGTGGAGAGTGGCCACAATACACTCTAGGTCTCCCAGCCCTTTTGGCGGCTGGAAGCCAATAATGCAACTACATTGTGGGGACAGAACGTGAGCAACGGTGTCCCGTGCAGCTCGTGAAACGGACTAACGGGAGGTGGTGCCCCCCACACGACATTGTCCCTCCCCTGGCTCGGCAGGCCGGGGAGGGGCCATCAGAATGGCTAGGCCGTTGTCTGTGGAGTCTGCACGGACCCAGGACAGCCTCCCTTGACAGGAGAGAAGGACACTCCCAGGAGTTTCAAGGTCAAGTGGGTCTTCTGCCGCGGCCAAACCTCATCCCAATGGATTCAATGGCAGCGCCCGAAAACAAGCCTGGCGGCCAAGCTCTGTGCCCCCTCCTGCAGGCCATACCCCACACCAGAGCCCCCGCCACCATGGACACACTTGTGCCTGCACGACTGAGGTCCCCTCCTCGGGCCCTCCTCGCCCATACCCTACATCTGGCCAGTCTCTAAGTTCCCATGAACCTGCCCTTTTCTCGGCCCAGGGCCCCCCCAGCCCCAGCATGAGGTCCCAGTCTCCCCACCAGCCTCCCCGCCCCAGCATCTCCTCATCTCAGTTGCCCC